GGTGTGGTACACCGCATTAGATTCTGAACAGGAATATTACTAATAATCAGATCGAGCACTTTACCTTTACTATTTAGTATATCATTATATTGGATAAAGTCATTTATAAAAATAAATTCTAGTAAAGTCGCACTTACTTCAGAATGGTTTGATATGGTTTCTGTATTGGTGTCAGTCGACCATTTTATGTTGTTCAAGTTAAAGTCTCCAATTATGATTGTGTGTTTGTTCGATTCAGCAGCTTTTTGAGCAAATTTAATAAACGACTCTAATAGATCAGTATTAAGCGGAGGTGGCAGATAAACTGCACCAATGTTTAGTTGCTCAGTTGTTCCTTCGGAGTTGTTGACATTAATACTCACCCAGAGATCCTCGCAGGTACCTTCGTAATGTGGCAGTCTTATTGGTTTTAAATGTTTTAATATGGCAATAAGTACCCCGCCTCCCCTTGTACGTGTTTTATAGCGACTAGTTTCGCGATCCCGTCTGAAAACTATATATCTATCATCGAACAGTTCAGAATTATAAATGTCACCACTAAGCCAAGTTTCTGTAAGTACAATAATATCGTAGTTTTCCAGAGATATATTAAAGAATAAATCAACAGTTTTAGTTCTTAATCCGCGTACATTCTGGTAATAAAATTTAAGATTATTGAATTTTTAGAAATAATACAATAATAACAAGCAATATATACAAGACAACAAAAAATTACTTAACAGATTTCAGCATATCTGTACTGTTAATGACCAAGCTCTGCGTAGTGTCGTCCTTTCTCATAAAAACCCTGCCGTTACGTATCCAAACGTATTTAAACCCTAACTCTTTGGCACGTACCCTTGTGGCTGCATGTATTGCTTTATTAGCAGCGGAGAGATGTTCCGTTACGTATATTGGCTGCGGCTTATCTGTTGCAATACCAAGATGGCTCGAGTTCAGTTTATTGTTTGTATTTGCTCTGTTGAATTTCATTACCGCGGCTAGGCAACTATCTCGAAGACGAGGAGTATTGAATTTAACAATGATCGAACGCGGCCGTTTGCTTGCTGCATCTAACTTTGCTATTCTTGAACAGTACACGACATCACCATCATTAATTTCATGGTTTGTAATTCTCCCTAATTGTGTAATTAAGCTAATTAAGTTTTCAGAGCGGTTTTCCGGTACATTTTGCAATTCAATGTTACAGGATCTTGAGGTTTGCTCCATAATATTTAAACGTTTTGTTAGATCTTCAATTGAAGTCTGCATACTGCTATTTACTTTTTCGTGTTCTTGTATTTTTACTGATTTTTCTAATAAAGACGACTTCATAGTTTCGAATTGATCATTGAAAAATGAGAGAGATTGCTGAAAGCTAGATAATAAATCATTCATTCCTTTAAGTTGATCAGCTAAGGCTTCATGAACAGCATTTTTTATTTCATGTCTGATTAATTCCTTAAGTCGGCTCTAGATATCTCAAAAATATTTTCGTCACTCGATAAAGCTTGAGTACTATTAGTACAGCGTTTGTTACGCAGTGTTACGTTGGTGCAAGACGGAGAGCTCGTATTGTGAGAGAGTGTAATGTCCGATTGAGGCGGACGTAAAGAAGAATAGTAAGAAGAATAGAATAAACACTTTTTAAGTTCTTAAAGTTTTTTTTTAATTTGTATGCGACCGTCCTTGAAAAAAGCCATATCTATTGTTACATTGAATTTAAGAATTAACGATATTGATTTGATCCAAAAATATACAACCTGGACTTCCTGTCTTTGAAGTCGGTCAAAAAGTAATATTTTTCGAATATGAATCTACTACCAATACTCCTTAAGTAAAACATTTATTACGAGTATATTGATATTAGTTTTACCTGTTTTATGTAACAAAAAGTAAATAATTTAAAAACTACTCATCTTTTAATCATATGTGTCACATACTGTATGTGTATATGTTTATTTAAAAAAATATATAATAACATTCATTTTGTTAAAAAAATACATAAATAGCCAAGTATTCTTTTTTGTAAGTCGGTCAATATTTCATTCATCCATTCATCGTCCGCTTGAACTCGATACCAATTAATCGCGTTATATAAATTTAAATCGATTGGATTCGATTTTTAGTTTGGAAAGTGTTTTGTTCTAATTAACAATTTTGTTCCATTATTGGGTTCCTTGATGACAATTTAAATATAGTTTTAAAAATGACTTGATTTAGTTCTTTTAAATATTGTTTTAATATATAATATTATCTACTTTACTGTGGGTAGAATAGGCCTGAATATAATAAATTACGACAATTAGGTACCTACATTATAATTAACTAAACATATCAAAAAAATGAGAATTTCAAGCGAATGTAGCAAATATCTTTTATACACGGACGGCTATTTTTATTATATCAATCTAATTCTTGTTTCGATTAAAAGTATTGAATAAAACACAAAGTTTGTATCGGACATCCGCATTCCTAGTTAGGTTAGTGGTGTATTCATATGGGGGCTTTGTAATGCGTGCTAAAGCCATCCTAAAACGTCCCACAATCAAGACCATAGGGTTTACCCTATGGCTATAGGGTATGAGAGTCTCACAGTCCCCTATCTATTACTTACCGATAGAAATCCCATAAATAATTTTGCTTAGCGATATAAAAAAAAGTTGTGTGTGTATACTTTTCAAAATAAACTGTCCTCAATTCAAAGCAAACATGTATTTAAAAATTACCTATATCTAAAATATTATGTACAACTGACATTATTACATAACTATAACGGTGTAATGAGAAATATTGCCATAGAAGTTTTGACGCAATCCATTACAAAATCTATCAATGGTTACGTCCGTAAAAAAATCGTGTACTGTCAATGCAAGCGTTGCTTTTTTTATTTTTATTTTAATGGACAAGCGACTCACCCTCGCTTCGCTCGGGGTCGTCCCTAGCTTGCTTCCCCATACAAACTTTCATCCCCATTTTCACCCCCTTAAGGGGTGATTTCCGGGATAAAAACTATTTCACTCACTCACTTTTTATATTAAGTGATTTAATAAAATCTTATTTTAGTAGAAAAAAAAATATTTTAATTTTCTTCTATAAAAAAATTGTCCTGACACTATGAAACAAAAAGAAAGAATTACCTAATTTGGTGCAGTCGATCGGAAGTTATGCGCGTGCATACATTTCGGTGGTTCATTTTTATTTATATGGATATTACCTTATATATTTATTATGGCTGGATGTGTAGCGTTATAAGATATACATATATTAAGTATACATATCAAGCACTTTATTCACATTACTTCCATTATAACTATATATTTTTAAATAACAGTCAGATATTATGATTGATTGGTTTGATCAATCGATATATAAAATACACTGGATGGTGATTAGTCAATTTATGTACTACTTTTAGATCGCGGTTTTGCTCTCATGGTAAATGGAGCACATATTTAAAGGTAAAATAATACTTTTTCTGCTGTGTTAACTAGAAAATAAATAATTAAAAATATTCCTTTAGTGCTTCTGCATAGCTATTAGTCGCTTTTACTGATATGATACATTTTTACATTTACACAATGCATTCAGTTGCATTTTTGCTGAGTAACATACATAAACTATGAACATATTATAATATAATATATACAAACATTTATATCATTTCATGTTGAATCGAATCGAATCTAAAAATAAATCATGTACTACTAGCAGAACTCGCGGCTTTGCTCGCGCTAAAACTATAAAAAAAACTCTAAAAAGGCAGGTTTCATACAAACTTTCATTCTCTATTTTACCCCCTTATAGAATTTCCAAAAATGCTAAAACATGTATTTATACGCAATAAATTCAATTATCTTGACTGTACTATTACAAAATTGATGCTATACAAGTATTTTTCATCAAAGCGTTGCATATTTCGGTTATTTAGTGACCAAGTGGCATAAAATAACCATCACGTTAACTAGTAATATTTTGAAAGTATCGGCATCGGAGATAACGCACGTGCGTACAAATAAAATTATTAGAAATCATAATTTTCTTTACACTTGCAATATATTTTTGTAATGGAATAATCTTGATGCTCTGTGTTTTAAGTAGAATGACATTAACTGTGATGAATCTATAATTTGTAAGAAAAAATGCTCTTAATGTCTTAATAAGACCTAGAAAATGGGTCAATTAAATGTAAAACTAATTTTATACTTTTTTTTTCATATTTTATTATCTATTATATAAAAAAGTTACATCTAAATGAACATGATTACGACTTTCAACAAGGTGAAGGAAATGGTTATAACAAAAATTGCATGTCCTGGAACTAATTGTTGAAAAACATATGAAGTTCTCATTTGGCCAGCATGGTGGCCTTATCCCCTTGTATTGGAAGAGGCCAGTGCCCAGCAGTAAGATGTAGAAACTAGAAAGCCGAAAGGGCTGAATTATATTAATAAATTACTTAACCTAAGGAATGTTTTAAAATTATGATAAAATTATGTATGTATTATTTTGTTTGTATAAATAAGTAGGTGTATTATGTACGAGTATTAGATTTTCTTATTTATTCGCATTGAAGTTAGAATATTACGTAATAACACTTTAAACCTTTCACAAATTAGCACATTTTGCATGTTTCAGTACGTACAAAGAACAGAAAACAGTGGAATTATGTGAATAGTTGGATATTACATAATTATTCATAACAAATTACGTTGTAGACTGTTATTTAATTATAATGTGTTTTTATGATGATTATAGCATATTTTAAAAATCTTATTTGTGTAACTACATATTTGAAGAGATTTTTCAATTGTTTAATTGTTTGTTTTTTGTTCATTTCAGGTAAACAATCATAGAGAAGCAATAGGGGTCACTCGTGCTGATTATTGACCTACACTAGATTGGCAACCGGAAACATTATGCCTTATACACCCACAACAATCTAAGCCAATACACCTGACTCGAATAACTAACAATCGAAAGAACCGTTAGTTAATTATGCCAATTCATTAACTCGCAACATGATGGAGGAGGTGACCAGCCGACCCAATGTGGAGTATATCCCCCCGCTCCCCACTAAAGTAAAGCAAATTACCGGATCGACTACTTTTACGCAAATAACTAGCGATGATACTAGCCTCAGAGTGAACGGATTCGATAGCCGGTCAGACATGGACTCTCTAAGTTCGATGCACTCGCTTGTCCTTAATTCGAAGACACCAGCAACAACGGTATATTTAGCGGCGACCCAGCCAGAGCGACCTGCGAGTACACCTAGCTCAGACGTACTCTCAAACGGACCACATGTAGTTACGATCAGAATAAACACAGATGCGGATAAACCCAAAGCGCCAAAAATCTCGAGCGTTCATCTCAAAAGTGACGTAGATTTAGACACCTTCAAGTTAACGGAAACAAACAAGAAAAACAGCAGCTTAGTCACACTGAATGTAGAGGAGAACCGGCCGAAAATTTTGGATAATGAGGATCTTTCTAAAGTGGATAAGCCACCGTTTATTTATTGTAATTCGTACGTGAACACAATGTCAAACATTGTGATGTCGAGTGGTCAGTGCTCTCCGAGCGATACGTTAGATTCAGGGACGTGCAGCGACCTTGATGGGACGCCACCGCCGCTTCCCAAAAAGAAAACGTCTAAATCAAGCTCTGGGAACAAAGCCGTCTCTGTTACGGTAATTAGCCAGTCAAGAAACCAAAGCGAGGTCGATTTCGAAGATAACGATTCTAACATATCGTGTGACTCGTTAAATAGTAGCGAGTTAAATGGAAGCGTGCACGCCGACGAAAGTCACAGCGACGACGCGAGTAAAAAAGAAAAGAAACAGTCTTCCGAGCCAGCGCCAGAAGCGCCTGTCAAAGTGAACAATAAAGATGGTAGCTTTCTACCGCAGGGTCTCCTACAAGACATTAGAGATCGTTCAGCGAAATTAACAACGATTGAAACCGAAAGTAAAATACAAACTGAGCGAAATGAGGAAGTAAGCCAGAATATTAATGAAAATGTAAATTTATCGAAAGAAAGCGCTCAACTCACGTCGTTCCGTCTAGTTTCCCAGCTTAATAGTGAAGTGAAGAAAAACAGTGCGGAATCGTTGCCGGCGACTGTCGCCAAAACACCCATAATTAGTGAGAGTACGTACGAAGAAAGGAAGCAGTCGGATAAAATGAAGGACGAAAGTATTTGTTATAGCAGCCATTATTTTGATACGGACAAATTTTATGATTTCCACTTAAACGAAAAACAATTTGATGATGTGTCAGTGAAAAGTGCTAGTGAAGATAATAGTGCGCGTAATGAGATTTCCGATATGGAGTATTTTGCGGGAATAAAAGATTATAAGTGTGAGGAAGCGCCTTCGACTATTAAAAGCTCGAAAGGGACAATACGTGGAGTGAAAAACCGAGTTCGTGCTGGAATCGCCACATTTTTACAGATGCAGAGCACAACCAAGGTATTTTTAATTAAACTTTTTCTAAATAGGCTAATGCTTACATAAATGTAATTTTCTGTTAGACTACATAATAATATATTTTACTAATAATTCTTTAAAATAAAAATCGTTTTTTCAGGCAGTCACTACAAAATGCTAATGAAATTATGCCGCTTAGTATTTACATGGTATAAACTCTGAGAATTTATGAATCATTCCGACTAGTACATACAGGTGTTAGCCCACATTTATTACTATATCCTGCCCTCTAACCTAACCTGTAATGTGAATCATAAATAACGGCTCTTGATGGACTTTTGAGATAAGATAGCAAGAGAAACGTCTATACACTTTTTGAATAAAAGCAATATTGCTTTTACCACAGCTTATAGCTAACTTTTACCGACTTCAAAAAAAGAGAATTTTTGTATGTATGTTACGAGATATTAGATATAAATAATATATCTTTTTTTTCTAAAAGATTATGCCAAGAGTGAAGCCATGTTAATAAAAAAACTATACAATATAACCTGTATAAAGGTGGCACAATTATTTTATGTGATTTTGAAGTCGGTATTTTTAGTAAAAATTAATTTAATCAAACTATTCAATATATCAACTTTCCGATTAACTATATTTTAACATCAGTTAAATTATAAACTGATTTTAAAAAGAAACAATCGATGTATTTTGTTACTGACAGTATAATCTTAAAAATTTTATTACTGCGATTCTATCTGATCATTTAAAAATCATCCTGTTATAGGGACTTCTTTATAAAGATTATATCTAGTGATATAGGAAAAGGCTGTCGTAGGTCTTATTTAACTAACTTCCACATCTTAAAATAATAAGAAGTGTGTATGAATATAATATGTCAACAAACACACTTAGAATTGTACATTATTTTTTGTTTTTATTAGTAAAGTGCAATGTCAAAACTAGATTACAAATCAGAAAGTTTGTGCTGGCTCATTATACACGTAATGGTTTTAGAGGTCACAGTCAACATTTGAAAGTGCACGCGAGCACGTAGCGTGGTGTTTATTAGGACTTTAATGATGTGATACACTAGCCAAACAACGTATGTATGTATAGCGATATACGGCTAAAGGAGAAAATTTACAGGAGTTCTACATATACAGCTGTGTACCATACACACTGTGTACAGCTCTATTTTTAACCCCCGACGCAAAAAGAGGGGTGTTATAAGTGTGGGTTGTGACCGCTATGTGTGTGTGTTTGTCTGTGGCATCGTAGCTCCTAAACGAGTGAACCGATTTGGGTGCCGATTTTTTTATTTGAAAGCTGTTTTTTGTTAATTTTAATTAAAATTTGATGTAGTTATATCAAATCTTAAGGAAGGGCTAGCAATTGAAAGATTAATTCGAAAGTTTTGTTTTTTGGTGTATTACTACAATTATTGGATTTGAATAAAATTCGATATAGCAACGCTTTTTGTAAAATTATTTATACCTCTAGCAGGTAGGTAATTAGCATTAATAAAAAGCATTAAACATTTAGACTTACCTTTGAAATATCAGCTACATATATAAATAAAAATGTATGTTCGTAATTTTGTCCGCTCCGCGTTCCTTAACCATTGATACGATTTTGATGAAACTCTGGTGGGTTACTCTGTATACGGTCTCTGCATACGGTTCTTAGTAGTTCTTTTATACATTTTTAAATCAGGCAAGCTTTGGGATGCACTTGGTTGAAGCGAGGGTAAAACTTTAGCCACTTTGAATGAGTTTTATCAAATTAGCAGCAACTTGCTTTACGTAACTTTTACGAACTTTTAACATTACGTTCCAAAACATCGTTTAGGGAGTAAAAGCTTTAGTAACAATTCTATAATATTTTTAATCTCTTTTGAATGTAAGTTATTAACCAAACAGACGAACAAATAAGACAATAATATCAAAAAAATCTATTACCTAGCTCTACCATGACATACCGTGACATACTTTTGACTAATAATTTGTATCGCGAAAGGTTCCCTATAAAATACATTGTGTACAAAATCAACTGTGACAAGTTATGTTGTTCTTTTGAAATATTTAAATACAAACCTTCATGGAGTATAATAATAAACAATGGCTCAGACAGTGTTTCAATAAGCAATTTTTAATTGTTCTTGCGGCGAAGAAGGGGTTGTGCTATTCGTTAAAAATGATATATATACAGTAATTTCCTTACGAATTTTCATATTTTAATGGTTATAATATAAAGTGAAGTTGTGTTTATTTATTTATCACTTGATTACACCATATCTAAGAAACAATGTACAAAATATAAAGGTTACATTAATGTATACAGGATGTAAACGTGGCCTTTTCTCTAACAATGGTCTCTTCCAGCAAGTGGTTGGTGAACGCACAAAAGGGGAAAAACCAAAAAATACTTTATATATAGTAATTCTATAATTAATTCTTGAAATAGCTTATTATTATTTTGATGGATAAACGCTGAGTTTGATAAGCAAACAGTAGGTCCCTTTTAATCTTCTAACAAAGGTAAAAAATAATGGCTTATAAATGGTAGCATAAAAAAGTATATAATCAAAATATACGTATATTTTTAGAATTTGGTTGTCGCTTATTAAGACGTTTTGACCAATTTCGGCTATGATAACCAATCTTGCGTGTTAATATTAGGGCAAATGTAGAACAGTGTACAAACGTAAGTACAAGCGAAGGTGCATCTATTATATTTCTTCACTACAACTCTCATGATACGGTAAGACAAAACCAAAGTTAGATCAGGCACATGAGCGATTGTTAACTTCTTAACTTCAAAGTGGTACTGAAAATTTTGTTTCTAGAAAATTCAACACCAACATTGGCAGAACCCGACTCAGAACTCGAACCTAGGATTCCATGATCTGTAATTTGTAAGCCACTATAGCTCTACAACGAGATCTGTTAAAAGAAACCTCAGAACATAACCGTATTTGTTTACGTCACACAATAATGATTATATTATTATTCTTTAGGTGTATTTTGTTACTCATTTGTACACAATTGAGTAAAAACGTCTTACATTATACAAAACACTGTTGATTGATGAGTCTTTACGTAATTATTCTTTTAGTAGATACTAACTAGCTTTCGTTTGCAATTTTATTTGCCACTTGCTTATCCCGCGGCTTCGCTCGCATAGTCTTATGTATAACTGTTTCTATCCAAAAAAAAAATGCAAAAAGGATTTTTTTAATCCTCATAATGATAGTTCCAGAGATTAGATGGTTTTTGACAAAAGCAAACAAACAATTTCTTCCACTTTATTATATTAATATAGATAGATAACTTTTATGTATTGTCACATTTCCTGTATTGGTTTATGTATGGTTTAACTAATGTTTATTTATTAAAGTTTCAATATGTAGATATTAAAGTGATGAGTATTAAAAAATCTTCAGGATCAACCTTAAGTAGTAAAAACATCCCTACTAATATTAAGAATGCAAAAGTAACTCTGTCTGTTTGTTACGTTTTTACGGCTAAACCGCTGAACAAATTTTAATAAATTTTGGTGTAGAGATGGAGATGGAACTTTTTGTCGCCAAAATGAAACACGAAGAGGAGTTGAAAGTTTGTATTGGGAAGAAATTCATTACATCCTATAATTTAAGTGACAAATAAACACTATCTCGGTATTTCTGACCAATCTAGTTAAAATGGGGATGATTCCAAGTTTTTTTTAAGTACTTATCTACTTTTATATATTTATGATTGTACATATATGTACGTATATACTAAATATAGTATATTATATACTACCGTTAAAACGAGCATAACAAAAAATAAATATTTTTTTATTTCCACAGGTCGTTAACTTATTATATTAATTACTTCTTAATAAGAACTCTAGTTCTAACATTTGATTTACAAGCAAAAATCAAGTTCAAATTAACCTACTTATATTGAGTTTAATTATAGCCCTTATATTTCCCGCTTTTCCAACTTAGCAATTAAAGTAAAAGTGTCATTTCCTTTAAGATCCCACGATGAGTAACGGAAGAGACATCAAACATTCAATAGAACTAGAAATACGTTGGGAAAGTTCTGTAAAAACTATAAAAAGTGTTGCTATGTTATAGAAAAGTTTGTAATTATCGTCCCATATAAGGTTAAAAGAATGTGTGTGTGAGCTATTAAGAGGCCGCACTGTTTGCTGGAAAACTTTTGTTAATCTGATTTTAGATAATCTGCATCCAATAAAAGTATAGGTTTGATCTTACATTTATTTTTCTATTTTCTATTAAAGTAGCTTGTAAGTAGTATTTCTAATAGAATAGACAGAAAAAATAGATAAGAATCAAACTGTAATTTAATAATTTAAATATAATACTTTCTTAATGCAAAATATGACATTTAAAGAAACTTATTGACATAGTCACAGGAAAGATGTTTTTTTGCTTTAAACCATTCGTAACTTTGGTGGAAAAATATGGAAAACAACCATAAATTCCGATAAAATATATTTTTAAACTGTACGTTATAATTTTGGTGCAAATCTCTGGAACTACTGATACTTATTAAATAAGACAACACAATAACTGGTTCTATCAAATCGTTCTAAGAAATTTACGTGTTAGTGTAATTTACGCTAGATAAACCTTAAGAGATATATCAAAATAATGTACTGGAAAATTTTAGGTCTTAATAACACCTACAGAAAAATCTGCAAAAGCATACGTCTTTCTCCTAATGTATACTAACAATAACTATTTATATGTATTTAAAACGTACCTAGGGACGCACCCGAGCGAAGCGAGATACATAATATATAAAGTATGCGAAAATCGCGGGCAAAAGTTAATTTACAAAATGAAGAAATTATGATCTATTTAAAAGATAAATAAAAAATATTTACACTTCATTATTCATATAAAATTATATTATCGAGGCGATGATCGAGAGATCACTCGCCCGTAAAACACTAACTCGGTTGCGCACGCGCTGTTTTCTCTGTAACTTAATGTAATTTGTAAAATGAGACTAGTCATTACACGC